GAGACAACGGGATCTCAAACGTCGAATAGAATGTCGTAGTACCCTACAAGAATGAAACAACTATTTGGACCACAGAGGAGGGAAATGGCTTGGATGAGCTTCATAATTTAGAACGCGCAGCAAACGGATGTTTCCTAAAGATATCCCTGAGCGTGTATGGCTCTCGGAAGTCGCAAAGAGGATTAGGTCTCCGGAAGAGCAGACAAATGTAAATCCATTACTTTTATATGAACTATAGGGCTTTATTTAACATGCTTCGGAATGTCCGATTTGGGCCAAATATGCACCGTTCTGTTGTATAATTTGTCTCTATTTGCAAAAAACTCTAGTAGTCGATTTTCACAATCCTCCCTAGATATAAATTTGTTATCATTAAATAAATTTTGCAATGCAAGAAAAATATGATAATCGCTTGGTGCCAAGTCCGAACTATATGACGGATGCATTAAAAATTCCCAACCAACCTGTAGATGTGTGTGGCCTAGCGTTGTCCTGGTGGAATACGACTCCTCTCCTGTTGGCCAATTCTGGTCAGTTGACAGTAGAGATCAGAACGGTCCAGTTGTTGACAGTAGAGATCAGAATTTATGGATGCAACTCATAATAAATAAACCTCTTCCAGTCCCACCAAATACATAGCAGAAAATTCCTGGCCGTTAGTCCTGGTTTGGCCACCGGTTGAGGAGCTTCACCGCTATTTAACCACGATCGTTTTCGTACAGGGTTATCGTATGTAATCCATTTCTCATCTCCAGTCACCATCTGTTTAAGAAATGGGTCTATCTCATTCCGTTTGGCCAAGGCTTCGCAGATCTAGCTTTGTGTAAATGGTTTTATGGTCGATTTTTAGCTCCTGGACAATGTTACGATTGTTAACCTGCCGGTCAACTTTGAATATTTCTCCGATTTTATCGACATTTTCGACGACCGACCTAATGGATTTATTTTTCCTCAACCAATATTAACGGATCATTTCGTTTGGAAAATAAAGATTTTACAAATATTAAAAATCGTTGGAGGACCATCTTGATTGAAACATTAGTCCTAGAATTTTTTTCTTTCGGTATTTTTAAGATTTTAGCTGCATTCTCCTCTAAAGTGGCTGCAATTGGCATTCATACTGATTTTTGCAAATGATTTTCTGCATATATCTAAGTTCAGAGATAGCCCCCTATTAAGGTTCCATCCGTTCTAATCAGGTTTTAGAAACATTTCCCCGTCGATGTGGTTGTAAATTGACATATCCTGTTATGTTTTCCGAAACTTTTGAAATAGCCCCATTAAAAAAGAGACATGAAACAACCAGACTGCACCAATTTTTTCAAAAACCGCACCTATTCTAGCTCTTGAAAAAATAATCTTCCACATCTAATGTAAATTTCAAAAAGAAAAAAAAAAAATATTATTTAAAAATCCACACTTATTGTAGCTCTCGATAAAATAATATTTAAACCACTTATTGCAGGTCTCGAAAAAATATTGTTTTAAAAATTCACGCCTGTTGTAGCTCTCGAAAAATTATTTTATAAAAACAATGTTTTAAAAATCCTCGCCTGTTGTAGCTCGCGAAAAAATATTTTATACGAACATTGTTTTAAAAATCCACGCCTGTTATAGCTCTCGATAAAATATTCTTTGAAAAATCCATTCCTCTTGCTAAGCCTTGATAAAAGATTCTTTGAAAAATCCACGCCACTGTAGGTCCTTGAAAAAATATTCTTTAAAAACCAGGCCTGTTGAAGGTTCCTTCAAAATATTCTTTAAAAAATACACGACTTGTTTGGATCCCTGAAAAAAATATTCTTTAAAAATCCACACCTGTTGAAGGTCCCTGAAAAAATATTCTTTAAAAAATCCACGCCTGTTGAAGGTCCCTGAAAAAATATTCTTTAAAAAATCCACGCCTATCGTAGCATTCGAAAAAAAATTCTTTAAAAAAATCCAAGCCTATCGTAGCCTTCCAAAAAAAATCCACGCATATTGTAGCATTCGAAAAAAAAATCTTTAAAAAAATCCACGCCTATTGTAGCATTCGAAAAAAAAACTTCTTTAAATAATCCTTGTATTGAGCATGAAAAAATATTTTTTAGTAAATCCACGCCTTGTATTGGTGTGCGAATTAAAAATCCACGCATGTGTAAGTTTTTAAATAGTTATTTTTACTTACCTCGCATTCCTTCATATTCCCCACCCAAAAAATAAGTAAAATAGCATTGTCATATTTTTTATGGTTTTAATAATAATTTATTTCTTATTTGATTTTTGCTGTTGTTGTTTTTTTTTGTTTTTGCTTTTTATTCAATAATAATAATTAATAATATATATGTTAGTTTTTTGTGTTGTTGTTTATAATAATAATCGTAATATTAATGTTCTGTTTTTTTTTTAATTTTATAATAATTATTTATTGTTACTATTGTGGGAGGAGCGAGCGGGGCGGAGAGAGATTGTGGGGATATAGAGGAGCTTAGCAATGTATAATGTGTATAATTGTTTCATTTTTTTTCTTGTTGTTGTTGTATTTTTTCAGTTTATTGTTATCTAAATATGAAGCATTTTTATTTATTATTATTATTTATAATAATTATATTATTAGATTTAGAGTTTTATTTTAATTTATTTTTTTGTTACTCAATTATAAATTATTATGCATTGTTATTGTTGTATGGGGTTTTTTGTTGTTGTTATTATTTTTATTATTATTGTTGTTATTTATGGGCATATATATGTATATGTATATAAATAGCTGATGGCATTGTCGCTGTGTCTATGTGTGTGTGTAATAGAGATGCCTATTATATATAAAGATATATATAATGTATGAAAATGTGTCAGCGTGTGTGTTTTAATTTGTGTTTTTTTCCTTTTTTGTAATTTATAATTTTTTGGGTATTTGTGGCTTTTTCATGTATAATTAAATTATGGTCTGTGAGAGATTTTTTTGGGAATGTTGTTTTTTTTTGGTTTTGAAAATGTTTAGGGGCTGGGGAAGCATGTGAGATTAGTTGATTTGTTTTTGTTTTTTTTTTATTCTTACATAGGCTTATATGTAATAAAATTCACTTTAAATATATATTTTTTTTAATTTAAAAGTTTCTCCTTTATATATATGTATGTGTGTGTATGTGGGTAGAGGCTTTAATACTAGTTTATATATTACTAAAAATTATTGTATATGTAAAATAAGCCTAGTTTTATTTTTTTTCATATTTTATAAGGTTATGTGTGTGTGGGATTTTTAAGCTATATATTTTTTTATATTTAATACTTAATTTTAGATATATTTTTTATTAAGCATACATTATTATAAAAGAAAAAAATAAACTTCTTATCCAAATAATAATTTTTTTCGAGGCATTTCTAATGGATTTCTCCGGCATTAAATTCTTAATATTTTTTAAGTTTTTTTTTATAACAAATGATTTTTTTTTAATTATAAATTTTATAGTTTTTATTTTTTAAGGATCAAATCAAATTATAATTTTTTATATAAAGTCTTGTATGATGGTGTATATATTTACATATATGAGGGACTGTGGAACCTCAAGGGACTTACAAAAACTACCTCCATAAGAAAAAAGTAACTCCAGTGAAAAAGAAAGGATATATATTTCCTTATATTGGATCGCCATATATGCGGAGGTCTGCCCTACGAAGTTTCACTGTATATGATTTCCATTAGGATAGTTTTTTTTTATAAATTCCCAATTTCTTCTTATCTTCGGCTGTCTATGAATTTTTTTCTTCTTATTTGGGTCTACTTCTTGGCTAATATCCTAATAAGCTTATTAAATTATTTTCAAATTTTATTTTATTTTTTTTTTAATTTTTATTTACAATTTTAAAATATTTTTTTAATATAAAAAAGTAAACAAAAACTTCTTAATTTTTTTGTTATATACAAAAATAAACACAAATATTCCTAACGGGGTCCTATGTTATGCGGTATCATAACATATATTAAGACAACATATAAATATATTAAGACAACATATTTGTTATTGTTGTAATTTTTTCTACTTCTTAAATTTTTTATGACAGTAGTGATGAGATGTCTACCTTTGAACGGAGCAAAAAAAAAAATAGAGGATGTCATCAGAACAGTCCTAAACCTGCACCAGAATAATATAAGAACATTTCCTAAAAAAAAATAACTTACATTCCTTCAAGTTGGGCGCCATATATATTTTTTTATTAAAAGCATACAACTCATCAGGGTGGGTGACAAGAATAATTCTTAATAAGAAATTCCAACCCTTCAAGTTGGGCGTCTTGTAGAAATTATTTTTTTTATTAAAAGCCTAAAGCTCGTTATGTTGGGCGCCACGAAAAATTTATTTTTTAAGGAATAAAGTAGAACTTTCATCGCTTCAAGTTGGGCCCCATGTAGAATATATTTCTTATTAAAAGTTTCTTATTAAAGTGTACAACTATTCAGGTTGGGCGCCAGGGAGACTTTCGAATTTTTAAATTGGGCGCCATGTAGAATTTATTTTTTTGAAAGCCAAACTACCTACGTTGCGTACCGCGGAAAATCTCTTAAAAAATAGTAGAACCTTCATACTTCAACTTTAATTGTTATTGAAAGTTAACAACTATTCAGGTTGGGCGCCAAGTGGATTTTAAATTTTTATGAAAGTTATTTTTAACGTAACCGAACTTAGGAGTTATTATAAGCAGTCAGTTGAATTTCTAAGACCCTCTTCGTTATTCTGACTATCAATAATTTTCTGTTTTAATTTTTTGTTCACCATTTTTCTCTTCTTTTTTTCTTTTCTTCCTTTCCATTGCACTCTGAGATCATAATTTAGTTTTGTTTGTTTTCATTTTTTTACTGTTGTCTAATATAAAGTTTTGCTGTACCTACATTTATAGCTTGAAATTTTACATCTTTTTTGTTTGCAGTGCCGTCGGAATTTGTATTTGAGCAGATTTGTTGTTTCGGTTGGTTTTTGTTGTCTTCATTGCCCTCTTTTGTTTGGCATTCCTTCATCTTCAACACCTTAATTTGCTCCACCAAATAATACCGAATTTTTATAATATGCAGCAGCAGCTTGCCGTTCAGCCAGTGGGCTCTTTACATCACGATCAGCGCCGGCGGAACGTGTCTTACGTTCCAATTCAATCTCTTGGGCCAGAGATTCTGTAATGAAAAAAAAGAAAAGAAGGGGAAATTAGAAATTTTTTTATAAGAAATAATAAGGATTTCTTAAAATATACTTAAGAAAATCTATACCTTTTGAGACTACTCAAAATAGTCTTTAGAAAAAGGAACGGCTCTTAAAAGTATCCTTGAAAAACGTAAGGCCTTTTAGAGACACCTAAAAATATTCTTTAAAAAATCCACGCCTTGTAGTGGCTCCCTAAAAATATTCTTTAAAAAATCCACGCCTTGTAGTGGCTCCCTAAAAATATTCTTTAAAAAATCCACGCCCTAAAAATATTCTTTAAAAAATCCACGCCTTTGTTAGACACCTAAAAATATTCTTTAAAAAATCTACGCCTTTTAGAGACACCTAAAAATATTCTTTAAAAAATCTACGCCTTTTAGAGACACCTAAAAATATTCTTTAAAAAATCTACGCCTTTTAGAGACACCTAAAAATATTCTTTAAAAAATCTATGCCCAAGGTTGGCTCGAGCCTAAAAATATTCTTTAAAAAATCTACGCCTATGATGGAGCCTAAAAATATTCTTTAAAAAATCTACGCCTTTGGTAGCTCTCGAAAAATATTCTTTAAAAAATCTACGCCTTTGGTAGCTCTCGAAAAATATTCTTTAAAAAATCTACGCCTTTGGTAGCTCTCGAAAAATATTCTTTAAAAAATCTACGCCTTGTAATGGTTCCTAAAAATATTCTTTAAAAAATCCACAGCCTTGTAATGGTTCCTAAAAATATTCTTTAAAAAATCTACGCCTTTTAGAGACACCTAAAAATATTCTTTAAAAAATCTACGCCTTTTAGAGACACCTAAAAATATTCTTTAAAAAATCTACGCCTTTTAGAGACACCTAAAAATATTCTTTAAAAAATCTACGCCTTTTAGAGACAACTAAAAAAATTCTTTAAGGAATCTACGCCTTTTAGAGAGTCCTAAAAAAATTCTTTAAAAAATCTACGCCTTTTAGAGAGTCCTAAAAAAATTCTTTAAAAAATCTACGCCTTTTAGAGAGTCCTAAAAAAATCTTTAAAAAATCTACGCCTTTTAGAGAGTCCTAAAAAAATTCTTTAAAAAATCTACACCTTTTAGAGACTCCTAAAATTATTATTTAAAAAATCTTCGCCCTTTGAGACTTCTTAAATTATTCGTTACAAATCTACGCCTTTTAGAGACTCCTAAAAATATTATTTTAAAAAATCGACCCTTTTGAGACTCTCCGAAATGTTGTTTTTTAATAAATCTGCGCCCTTTGGAGACTCTTGAAAATATTCTTTAAGAAATCTACAGCTTTTAGAGAATACGAAAAATATTCCTTAAAAAATCCCATAATATTCTGAGACACCTAAGTTGGTTGATAAGGCTTTATAAAATATTTATAAGAAATCAATCCTTGAAAAACCATTCAAAATGCTTTGTAGCTATTTAAAATACTATGTATCATACTTTTAGGCCACAACCCAACAGCTGATGCTGTTAAACAGCTGATAAGGATTAACGAGATATCAAAAAAACATCAACGGTTTATTGATCCTTTAAAAAATCTGAGCCAATGATAAGCCTCAAAAAAATATAAAAAACTCCTAATCATTCGTGAAGCCTACTTTTAGGCAATTCACCAACAGCTGATCAACTCGAAATGCTGTTGTGTGACCATGTTGATCAGCTGTTGGTCGATTGCTTCTAACATAAGAAATATTTTAAGCCTTGAATGTTTGTATCCTAAACAAATATTCTTAAAAAAATATGTACGCCTTGGTGCTTAAAACATATCCTATAAAAAATCTAAGCCTTGTATTGGAGCTGAAAAAATATTCGTAAACAATCTAAGCCTTGTATTGGATCTGAAAAAATAATCGTAAAAAATTACACCTTGTTGGTCTTTGAAAAAATATTCTCTAAAAAATCTGCGCCTTAATTATCCTTGTGAAAATAGTTTTTAAACAATCTACGCCTCCGATATGGCTTGAAAAAATATTCTTCAAAAAACTACGTTTTTGATACGCCTTGAAAAAATATCAGTTAAAAATCTACGTCTTCGTTAAGCCTGTAAAAAAATTCTTTTAAAAATCTTCACCTTAGATAAGTCTTGATAATTGTTCTTTGAAAAATCTAAACCTTCGAAAAAATCTTTTAAAAAACTACGCCTCCTGAAGTAATTTTTAAATATTTCTGTAGCCTACTTTTAGGCAATCAACCAACAGCTGATCAACACAATCAGCTGTTCGGTGATTATTTTAATAATATTTTTTTTAATTCCTTTATAATAGAAAATATTTTTGGAAAGAATATTTACTCACCCGAATAATTCTGCCAAAATGCTCCGGTAGCCATTAAATCAATACCGGGATAATTCCATTGACCCTTGCCGCCATTGGCAGCTGCGGCTGCTGCAGCGGCGGCAGCAACAGCCAAACTATTCTCGGCAGCATGCGATGAAGGTGGCCGATTACTATCACGATCCACCGAACGACGTTCATCCAAATCTTCTGAACGTTCAGTGAGATGTTCCGATGAAGAATGACGATCACTGTCCGAGGAGGCGGCAGCAGCTGCGGCGGCGGCTGCTGCTGCAGCAGCATGATGCAAATGTCTTAGTTGAGGTGGTAAATCTTCGGCACTACGTGATTCATGATCGGAATGGGGTTCACGTTTAAAACTTGGACTTTCCGAGAGGGTACGTAAATGTTGTGATGATGGTTGTTGTTGTGACTGCTGTTGCTGTTGATGGATGCGGCTATCATTGCTGTTATCGGCTGTGTGATGTAAATTATTGTTGTTGTTGTTGTTGTTGGCGTTCGCGTTTGTGTTGTGGGAATTTAAAGAGGAGTTGGTTGATGATTTATCAGACTTTTCACTTTGTTTGCCATCCTGATCTATGAGGTTAAAGGGAAAGTAGAACAAGAAGAAGAAGAAATAGAGGACGCTGTGTTGGTTAAAACAGGAGTTGTAACAGAGAGAAACAAACAAAAAACAGTTAAACACGCATTTAGAGTGGGAGGGTAGCGTAACTTTAAGTTTGTTCTTCAGTTTTGATTTTTGAGGTTTTTTTTTTTTGTATAGAAAACTACTGAGCTTTTGTTGTAAACTTAAAAAAAAAATAAAAAAAAAAAAACTTTTTCGAGCTTCTTACCTTGCTCCGATTTCCTTGTCAAATCGGTTATACTGCCACTATGTTTGCTATGCATCGATGCTGAATCTATGGACCGGACATCCTCATTTATTGAGGCCGATCTCTCCACAGTCGATGAGTTGTTATTGCTGATGCTCATATTGTTGTTGTTGTTATTGTTGGTGGCGTTATTGCTGCCACCACTGGCATTGCTGTTGGCATTATTGTTGTTGTTGTTGCTGGCATTTGCTGTGGCATTGGGCGATTTACGTTTGCCGCCCTCCACTTGCTGCTGATAACGAATGCGCAATTTACGTTCACGTCTGTAGCGTTTTTGATATAAAACTGAAATTGAAAAGAGAGGAGACCAAACTTATGTTGAATGCAATTCGATACTTTTTTGACAAGAAAAAAATCTACATAAAGAAAGAAAACGTTTTTGAGGCTGGTCTGATTGTCATAACTGAAGATAGAATATAATCATGTTGCATGTTCGTCAATCACCGACGACAATCGATCATATTTCTGAAGTAATCGATAAAAACAATTCTTGTGATTTAGATATTTTGTTATTTTTTTTATTTTCTTTCTTTTTTGCCAATTTAAAAATTTATCAGTTTGTGTG